AAAAAAGAAGATGGGACAAAAGTAACACAAAATAAAAAATTATCGTACCTAATTGAACCGTAGAGAAATTATTGGGTTGAAATTGAAAAAAGAAAAAGTTACTGCATCAAATCACAAGTTCACAACAAACAAACAAACAAAAACTAAAATGGAATTGTGTGTTTTTTTTTTTCTTTTTTTTTTTAATAATTTATAATACAAATATATAATTGATGAGAATTTGTGAACAAAAATAAAATAAAATTAAAACATCTGCCTCGTGTCCCTCATTCACATTGAAATTGTGGTGCGCACACAAAGGTGTTGAAAATATAACAAACCTTTAATTTTGGGCTCAATATATAAATAACAATCCTTTAAATATTTTTGGGCTCACAAGTCATGGCAATGAAGGTTGAAAATTCTTTTGCCCTGCTGGCCAACTTGAAAGACGAGAACGAGCCGCCCTCCGCCGCCTCCAACAGGAGGCTGCCGCCGCCGCCTTCACCGCCGGAGAAGCCGAGCACTGCCGTGAAGAAGCCTCCCTCGACACGTGGCAGAGGGAGAAAGAAAGACCGTCGGGTTGTGAAGGAAAAGATTAATGATGATCAAAACGAGGGTCAACGAAAATTGTCCGAAGTCAACGGGAAGGGCCAGGCCGTGGGAGGAAATGAAGTGCGGTCAAAGTTGAGGGGCTATTTTGCTATTTTCTTTTTATTATTTGTTGTATTTGTTGGCGCGAGCCTCTTCATCATCCGCAGCTATTAGTTTTCCTTTTTTTTTTTTTTTTTTTTTTTTTTTTTTTTTTTTTTTTTTTTTTTTTTTTTTATGTTTTTGATGTGTGTTGTTTTGTTTTTTGAATAATAAACAACTGTAGTATTTAAAAATACTAATTTTATTTTACTTCTGAATCTCTTAAATAAACATTTGCGAGTTAGGCTATGTTTGGTAAAATTAGCTGATAAGCTAGCTGATAGCTGATAAGGTAGCTTATAACTTATATATAATTTTTGAGCTTATAGCTTATAGCTTATGACTTATAGTTGAAAAGCTAGCTTATATGATAAAAGACGTTTGGTAAATTAGCTGATAAGCTAGCTGAAATAAAAAAATTCAACTAGCTTATTTGAAAAGCTACCTAAAGTAGCTTATGAAATAAGCTCGAGCTTTTTAAAAAAGCTCGTCCTACCAAACGAGGCTTATTTTAAACAGGGA